CACTTACCTTGAAATATGTGTGCCACTTGCTTTGTTCAGGGCTTTTGGAGACTATCCTTGTTTTAACATTCTGATGTCTTATACCCTGGGACAACCCTGCATTGTGACCTTTAGAAGGCCTAGATTTTTCAAAAGGATCTCAGTTGTTGGCAGGATCAGCCATTCCCACCATTTCAGCCATCAAAACCAAGTGGACTGATCAAGGTCTGTTCCAACTGATCAGGCAGCAGCAGGCTGGTGTTCAGGTTAGAGAAAACTAATCAGCCACGGATGGAGGTTATGGAGACCCAACTTAGACCAATTTGGTCATTCAAAAGCTGTCAGATTTGTGATAGACAGGATTACGTATTCCCTCCATCGCATGCTTGTTACCACGTGGCATGTTGCAGTGAATGCAAGTCCCAGCCAGAATTCTGCCAAATGGGCAAAGACATGTTAGGAAGCAAGCCCAGGAAAGTCATACAGCTTGTTCCTGTGAAGCTGGAAGTCCCTCTTTACTGCTCTCAGATATTGCAGTAGGCACCTTATATGAAAGGTATAGTATGAGGAGGAAGCAGTAATAGTTTGATGAAAGGAACAGTCAGCCTTCTAGTGGGAAAAGTGACAGGGTTCTCTCTTAGGTGGGGAATATAGTGCCAAATGAGGTCTAGACCCCAGGTGCGGTTCTTAAGGTTTGAGGTTCCTGGGTTTGCCAGACTCATGCCTCCTTCAGTGCTAGGGTGTTGGCATTCATAGTCTTTTCAACTAATCATGTGTCTTGAACACTACTTATTTCAGCAATGAAAAATAATTTCAAGCATCTCTTATGCTAGTGAACACACATTCTGGTGTAGTTTTTGATAACAATATTTGAGGTACTTGCGTGGCCACCTCTTATAAACAGAGGGTTTGGGGTGCGTCCTGAGAGGACATTTCCGATTCAGAAAAATGTTTCATCTGGGTAGTTAAAAATACAGACATACATGTCCACTTGATTTTGAAAGAGCTAATTATAATTTAGCAAAAGAGAGTCAGGTTGGAGGTGCTTTGCGATTCACATATAATTCGTCATCAGTAAACACACACGTACACACATGCACACTTATGTGTGGTAGATTTGAACTACTTATACAGCAGGCCATTTGCTCTGTTTATAAAGTTGTCCAGGATATTGATCGTGGTCTAATTTCATGATTTGTGGCTACATACTTAAACAGAGGTAGGTTCTGTTGCAGCTGGCCAACTGAGAAAGCAAGCAGTGACCTTTGTATTGCAGCTGGGAAGCCTGTTTCAGTACAGTGGATCTGCTTCACTCCTCTTTGAGTGATAGTCTCTCTATCATTCCCTTCCTCCCAATCATGTCCATTGTTGATCCATCAAAGTCAGCCTCTAATGGTTCCATTAACAAGCATTCTTCGAGCATCCTTTCTCTTCTCACTTCTGGTTTGATCTTTACTTGCTTTTGTTCAGTATTGCCTGTGGTCTCAGTCTTTGGGAGGCAGCACAGCATGGTGATGAAGACACTGGATTCTGGAAAGTGGTTCACATCCAAGTGTGGCCATTTTATTAGCTTGTGTGACTTGTGGACTGGTGACCTTGCTGGGCCTTAGTTTCTTTGTCAGTTAAATGGGGATAAAAAATAGTATAGTGCTGTTCCTGGTGCACGTTAAGTGTTGATTTCTAATTACTTCTTCTCTTCCTACTTCTACTAATCCTATTTTAGTTGGTAATTTGTTCCAGGTTTGGAGTTCATTCTCCTGTACTGGAGAGCCTAGCACAGCCCATCTCTCCCAACTCCTACATCGTTTGTTTTCTTCCCTCCAGCTACTGAGGGTTAAGGGTTTCCTTAAACTTTATCCTAATATTTAGCCACCTAAAACATTTAAGGAGCTGTGGTGATGTAGTGGTTGGTTAAGAGGTATGGCTGCTAGCCCAAAGGTCAGCAGTTCGAATCTGCCAACCACTCCTTGGAAACCCTATGGGGCAGTTCTGTTCTGTCCTGTAGGGTTGCTGTGAGTTGGAATCAACTCACCGGCAGTGGGTTAAAACATTTAACCAGTAAGCATGACAACTAAGCCTTTCTCAAGGAAGCATCATTTGCATTCTATGAGATAGACTGAAATTGGGTGTCAAAACCCTGGCTCCAAATTGTCCCTTAGTTTCTTCCGTTCTTTAAAGCACCTTCTCTCCTTTCGTAAAACTTATTGAGGGCTTTGTGTTGAGAGCCAGGGTGCCATCAGCTCTGCGTGATGGTCATCATAGAAGGCGCAGGAAACCTAGGTTGCTCCCAGGCAATTTTTAGCACCATTAGGAACTTCATTATAGTTGTGATTGAGTTGTTGTGTTTCTTCTGGGCCTCTCTTTTATGCGTTTCACATGGATTTCCCACACATTGTGTCTGTCCGGTGTATACAGGGCAACTCTCCCTGAATACAAGCTCCTTTTTATTAGCAGTGTCTCTCCTTTGCGCTGTAGCACTGGTCTTAAGGTGAGCTAGTGGCAGGAGATCACGTTTCATTGTGCTTTGAAGAAGAGGGTAATGGCATATTCATGTGCACTTGGCCTCTTTCTGCTAATGTGTACCAGATCACGTGGGGGGAAAGAAAAGGTATAATGAAAAAAGAGGTTGTTTTTTTTTTTTATTTTGAAAGTAAGAAATAGAGTGATATTGGTGCTAAAGAAAGCATTTTTCTATTTAGAATACAGTGGGGGAAACATGGTTGTCATCAGCACAATATAAATCATCACGTTTTTACCTGTAAGTGTTAAAGCCCACCTGATAGTTGGTACACAGAGAATTCATTTATCAGGTGTCCTCTTCTCTATTCAAACCCTACGTTAAGTTTCATAAAAACTAAGGACGTTTGTAGGAGATCTCTTTATAGGCACTTGGTGGGAAGGTAGCTGGCTGCAAGCAGTATGCTGGTGTTGCTAATCAAACCCCCTTAGACGAAACCAACGGAACTTAGGAGCAACATCTCTCTTGCTGTATGCACGTCTTGTGTTTTTAAGGTTTGAACATCATAGAAGGGTGGCCTGCTTCCAGGCAGGGCAAAAGCTGGCAGCCGCAGGCCTGTTGTATTTGGTCTACACAACATTTTAAAATAATTTGACTTGGTTGCTAGCATTTAACTGTCAAGAGATTACACCTAAAACAGCTCTGGATTTTGACTGTTGTGGGAAAAGTGGAACAACACGGGGCCCACATTCCTAAGTGGCAGCTGTTGGCTGGAGCCAGATAGTGGCTGCCCCCTTTAGCTAGGGTTTGCCATTCTCCTCTACACTGCTTTACTCGTTAGGGTGGCCCACTGCTCCTGCAGGCATTAGAGTTTGCAAACCATTCCTTTAGGATTGCAAAGGAAAAACAAAACAAAATTTGACATTCAGGACTAAATATGTTAAAAGAGTGTGTCTGTTTGATGACTAACTTTAGGACAGAAGGAAATACATGTATATAATTTCTGGAGTATAAATAGTCTAAGAAATATATATACTAGAAATATACTTGTATATAGTTTAAAGCATATATAGAAATTATTATGAATTTATGTGTGTATATATATATATATATATATATATATTTCTATTCACCAAAACATAGAATTTTCAAACTGGAGGGGTTCCTTGGTAGCATCTACTTCTAGATCAACTCTCTCCTTTAACAGTTAAGGGGACTGAAACCCAGAGAGTCAAGTGATTTGTTCGAAGGTATGTTAACTAGTAAGGGACCGTGCTGGGACAAGATCATTATGCTCTGTAGGTCACTGCCAAACTGGTAGTGGTGTTGGTGTACCATGTGGAACATATTGGAATGGAACAAAACTTTCAAAGTGCATCTCTTTTCTGTTATGTTGATAAGTTGTTGTTTAAAGGAAAACATTTTACTCTTTAAGGAGTCTTCAGGTATTCATCATAACTCCTCTGTTTCCAATTCTTTGGCCCCAATTTTTCTCCTGGAATTCAGGCTAGTCTTTCCTCCTGCCTCCTGGACCTTTCCACCCAGATACTCTGAGGAGCTTAGCAGGAAATGCCTCAAAAACCAAGATTTTTGTTACTCTTCTCCTCCTGGCTTTAGTCATCTAGTGCTGCTATAACAGAAATACCACGAGTGGATGGCTTTAACAAAGAGAAATTTATTCTCTCACAGTCTAGGAGGCTAGAAGTCTGACCTCAGGGTGCCAGCTCCAGGGGAAGGCTTTCTCTCTCTGTTGGCTCTGGGGGAAGGTCCTTGTCATCAATCTTCCACTGGTCTAGGAGCTTCTCAGTGCAGGGACCCCGGGTCTGAAGGACACACTATTCTCCTGGCTCTTATTTCCTGATGATATGAGGTCCCCATGTCCCTCTTGTCACTTTTCTCTTTTATAGCTCAAAAGAAATTGGCTCAAGAAACAATCCAATCTTATAGATTGAGTCCTGTCCCATCAACAGAACTGCTACTAATCCCATCTCGTTAACATTATAGTGATAGGATTCACAACACACAGGAAGATCACATCAGATGACAAAATGGTAGACAGTCACACAATACTGGGAATTGTGGCCCAGGCAAGTTTGACAGACATTTTTGGGGGACGCAATCCAATCCATAACACCTCCTAAACCTGCTAAACTTCCTATGTACTTGATGTTGGTCATTATTGCCATGTGGTAGAAGTTGTTATATTGTCTTCTATTTTTTCTTCTTATTTATTTATTTTTTATTTACTCATGTTGTTTTATTTACTCATGCTATTTTTTTTTATTTTATTTTATTGTACTTCAGGTGAAGGCTTACAGAACAAATAGTTGCTCATGAAACAGTAGTACACATGTTGTTTTATGACATTGGTTAACAACCCCACAACACATTAACCCTCTAACT